TGATGCTCAACGTGCACGGGACGGTAAGTAATATTTTTTTTTTTTTTTTTTTTTTTTTTTTTTAGTAAAATATACTTCCACAATAGTTTAACATGACGTTAGCTTTTTATAAGACTTTTTTTGAACTAATAATAAGTTACGTAATGATAGAAGTATGTAGTTTTGTTATAAGTTATAAAAAATATAGGTTAGATTGGGGTTATAATGTCATAATAGTGGAAGTAAAATAAGTTTAAATAAAAATATTATTAATTTAAGATTTTTGTTTACTAAATATATTATTCGTCATTTAGATGTAATGTTTGCCACTCGTTTGCTGGAAACAGCAAAATTACAATTGGATGAAACAGCAAATATATCGGCTATCTCTGAAGATGGTAAGNAGTCATTATTTAAGTGGTCTCATGCTGCAACTCTCCTCTTGATAGAGGAGTATCGTCTTCAAGAAAATAACCTCACATCAGGTAAAATGTCTCAGAAAAAAGTATGGAANAATATTGCAGCAGCATTATCTGCTAAAGGGTATAATGTTACTGGATCTCAGTGCCTTTCCAAATTTCATGGAATGAAAAGAACTTATAAGTCTATAAAAGATCATAATGCTAAATCAGGTAATAATCCTAGGACATGGCCTTATATGGATGTAATGGAGTCTTTACTTGGTGAGCGACCTTTCATGTCGCCTCCAGCACTAGCTTCTTCAAGTGGTATTCGTTCTAGTCCAAAATCTGATAGCGAATCAAGTAGTTTGTCTATAAATTCATNTAACAATGATTTACGTAATCCAAGTCGGAAGCGTAAGGCACAAGAAGATACATCGAAAATAGCCGAATCAATTCTTAAAAGTCGAGAGATGGCAGAAAAGAATAAAGATCAGAAACACAAAGAAAAAATGGAATTTCGAAAAGAAATGCTGAGTTTTATGCAGAAATTATTAGACAAACTTTAAGANTTTTTAACTAAAGCAAACAAAGATAAAACAAACTTAGACTGATATTTATAGTCAGGTCTTATGTTTCTATATTTAAGATCTTTAAATCATCTTTAGATGATATACGAGTCGTCTCATTGGCTGCACAGCATCTGAAGATAAACTAAAGACGATCTTAAATATAAGATATGACTTCGAATACTGGCTTTAAAATATAGTACAAAATAATTCATTTTATTTTTGATAAATTATTTTTATTTTATACATTGTTTTGTGCAATTTATATTGTATTTCGTTATGTAATATGTACATCTCTTATACTGCTTTTCTCAATATTTCTGTATAATTTAATATTTAATTTTTAATATTGATAATTATAAGATTTTTAGTTCTTGCGATAAATTGAATAATAGTTATTACATCTGTGATATGTAGTATAATAGTTTTAGTAAGTGTTCATAAGACTGATATCTAAAATAAGATTTTTAAGTCTTTGATGAGAATATAAAACTGTTATTATTTTTTATGGAGATNGTAAAATAATAGCTTTTTATGTGCAATATTATGTTTGCATATATATTAACAATATTAAGTATTAACAATGTTATGTATGTAATTTTTTACCAAAATCTTTTTTTTTAAAGAGTCAACGTAACGTTTGTTTTTGTTTTTATAATTGTCATATTTTACTGACATTTTAGTGAGTAAATACATGTGTTCAATTGTAGACAATTTTACAAGTACACAAAATCTATCACAAATATTCTACTCTGTGAGTAATATGTGTGATATCTTTTTATTTGAATTTATAACACAAGAATTCTTCGCACGCGCATTGATTCAGTTATGTCATTAAACAAAAATGATTGAAGTAAGGAACGAGGGACCTTAATATTAATATATGATTCTGTTTCTTTTGTATTTATTTGAATGTTTTAATTTGTAATACTATAAAATACATAAATAAAGTATTCTTATATAAAATGTATAATTGTGTATTTATTTGTTTATATAAAAAAATACCAGGTCATAAAANTTTCTTAAATAATATAACTATATTGCATTTTTATAGTACATTATAAAAAATTGTTTTTAAATTTTCATTGGAAGTCTTTCACAAATCAAATCTCTTTTGATTTCACCTGATTGTACATTATTTTCAGCAACTTGCCGAGGAACATAATTGTCTGCCTCATCTTGTAATAAAAGAATATCTAATTCGTCACCTTTTAATATACAAATGTTATGCAAGACACAACACGCAAGTATAAAATCAGCAATTAAATCAGTTCGATTCATAGGCAGGTAATGTAGTAAACACCGAAATCGACTTTTTAATAAGCCATACGCTCTTTCAATAGTAGCTCGTGTTGAGGAAAGGCAGAAATTGTAATTTTTTTGTCGTTCATTTAAATGGCCATTATCGCGATAAGGAATCATTAAATTGTCATGTAGCTTATATGCACTATCACCAAGTAAATGGCAGTCGTCAGGAAATTTTTCTGAATCACCTAATGCATCCTGAATTTCTGACAAACGCAAAACACGCTGATCGTGGACAGAACCAGCATGTCCAATGTAGCAATGAGTGAAAGAAGCCTTGTGATCACAAATTCCCTGTAAGATATAAAATACAACATACATCATCAGAAGAAAAAATTCTTTTATCTGATACATTAGATGCATATTACAAACCTGCATATGAATAGAGTGACGTTTTTTTTGATTGACATAGGCTTCTGGGTTTATATGTGAAGCTGGAATATTTATATGAGTGCCATCTATAATTCCTATAACTTTTGGGAAACCACTTATTGCTTCAAAACTTGCCCAAACTTCTTGAACATTGTTTCCTGTGGGCCATTTAATGAATATTGGTGCCAAATCTGCAAGGATCTTTGTCACTCGTCGTGTTGTCAACAAAGCAGTTGATCGACTCACGTCGAACTTTTCACATATTGATCTAGAATANGAAAAACTCATGAATAAAACATGCAACATTTTAAACTATTAGTAAATATGAATCACTTTCCCCCTGATACTACTCCATTACCTATAAGAATCTGGAGTAGCCATTCTCCAAATAGCGATAAGAAATTGTTTTTCTGGAGAAAGCATATTTAATCCTGGATAGGATCTTTTCAATTTGGGAGCAATTATTGAGAGCACAAACTCAAAAGTGTTTCTGGACATCCTATAAAAATTAAAAAAAAAAAATAAAAATTAGAAAAAACACTTACTTTTATGCTTTATAATCTAGAGGTTAGCACAAAAAAGTGCTAACCTCTAAACTATAAACAAGCATGACACAAAGTTTTTATCGTACTGATATGAAAGTTATCGTATTAATAGATATATTTGAAGATAAATTGAAAAACAAATAATAAATTATTTACCTAAAATGTACTTTAAANTCTTNGCTTCTCCATCTTGGTATGANCTCTTCCACATAATTCTTTAGCCTTGNAATTCTCTTTCGATATGTTACATTCAAATTAATAAGAGCATCTAAATCTTCTTCGCTATCAGACGACGAAGATGAATTTTCTAATTCTCTTAAAACAAGTAATAAAATATTCATCATTCTTTTTCTTTGGTCAGCCATATTTAATAATTTCACTAAAGTAACGTTNGGGCAGCTCAAAAGCATGAGCTTCTTTTAGCCTCCTCGAACACGCCTGTCAGCGTTAGCGTCTATTGCGCGATAGCGCGCTCCCCGAACGCACTCTATCTGGCGGAGCTCCTGCCTCTCTGCCTACACGCTTACAACATAAACATAGTACGTGAATGTTTCTACTAAATGGTTACATATTTACCAGCTTCACTGTTTAGTGTTTCTTGTACCTATGAATTCTCACGCGTTCTTGTTTATTACATCGAAGTTTTTTCTAAAGTTCTATATATAAATAATTGAACGTACTTGTAATATTTTCTTTGTAAATCTTCTATGTATAAAAATATGCATATTTAAATGTATTTAGACAGTATACACGTTGACGTAAACAGTGCACGTAACCTTGATACAATTTTTTAAGATCATAACTTTTTAATGAAAAGCGAACGACGGTTAAAAACTTTCGATTATTACTCAAGAACATGTCCTTGACATATGTTTAATATATTTAATATATCGTACGATTTATTATTATTATTAAACTATTTATTGTTATTAAATAATAACAATAACATCACCACTAATGATGATATTAATAATAACAATAATACAATACATCAATAATACAATATAACAATATATCAATAATAATGATAATAACAATTGCAATAATAGTGACAGTGATCATCTGACGTTAAAGTTAGTACATTGGGCTACTGTTAAACATAATATATATATATATATAAGTCGATCGGCTCTTACAGATTTGCTTCATATATTAATACCATATCACTCTCCTGAACTCTCATTAGATAGTCGTACATTATTACAAACTCCAATACTTTTTAATATATCAAAATCTTAACAAAAGTTGTGTACTATCAAAAGTATCCGAGATTAATTTTATTATTTTCTTTTATTCTGTAGAGCCGTATTTCTATCCGAGCAATAAATGCAAAATGCAATTTAAAATACGAATTACTTGTTCAATCGGTATAACAGGAAGGTCCAGGACTCTCTTACGATGCAATACAATATTACCGTAATAATTAAATATTATATATAAATGTAATATATCGATAATATTATTGTAATATTGTATTATAATATTTAATATTACTAGTATATTGCAATTTTACTGATATTTCTGTAATATTACTTGCTATATATGTGGGATATATTTATATATATCCCACATACGCTTTATTGACAAAAGAGGGGCAACACTGTTTGCGTCTTTAGCATTGTCCCGCACCTGAGCGNGCGAATTTCAGGCGATCTGATTTGTTATCTTTAAATGCTTTTAATTCAAGAAATATAACCTTGACATTTTGATATTAAGATTTTTACAGAGAGTATACAGAATGTATACAGAGTGTCTCGCAACTACCGTATTTCCTGTATATATACAGGGTGTCTGATAAGGATCGTATCACCGCTCGTAGGCAGATAGAGTTATTCTAAAAAGAAAAGTCTTTTACCATTTTGCGAGATTCGCAATAGTTAATAAGTTCTTAATAAATAAAGATCCGATGTTTATCAGACAGATATATGTACAGGGTGCGTCGCCAAAATCCGGACAAATTTCAATTTGATATTCCCTCCGTTCAGTACCATTGGCAGATGTCGCGATTGGCATTCAAATAGCTTGACGCATGTACTAAACTACCATAACTTCGAAACAGTCGCAATGTTGAAACCCAGT